GGTTAAAAATTCTGATCGAATTGCGAAGGTAATTGGGTATACTTTGAGTCGGCGCGCAGGGTTAAGAGTCTATTGCCGGGAATGTGTAAATTTTAACAGCGGGATGTATATTTTAGAAGTGTATGGTTAACAAATAAATCAAAAATAAAAATTAATTAAATTTTACTTTTTGGGATATATATGTTGCAACACTTAAAAAGTGTTACATAAAATCATTTCGTAAATTTATTTGTTTTGAATTGCAACACTTTTTGGGAGTAAGTGTTACATAATACTTAATAAAATGCAATACTTAGAAAAAAGTGTTGCATAATTTCATAGTTGAAGTGTTTATGCAATATTTATAAACAAATGTTGCATAAATCTAGATCTAAATAGTATATGCAACAAAATAAATAATTGTTACACACGGAGTGTTACAAAAAGTCAATTTTGTTGTAATGTATGTTTGAGGTTGTGTTCATGTGGAATTACAATGAAAAGGAAGTTATGATGATAATGAAAACTATTGAATGATAAGTAATGATCTAAGGTAGTCCTGCCCCCAAGTAACTACCTGAGCTGAGCGTAACGGGACAGCCTTCCGCGGGGAGTCTCGGGGTTACTTCTGATGGGTTGTGGGCTAGCTACCCGAGGTCATCGTCGAGGGGCCAGGACACGAGCTACGGGCCCTTAAACTCAAGGAACAAGATGAGATGAAAGAATGATGAGTAAAGAAACCTCTTGAGGTTTGATATGTGAACGCTTATGTGTGTTATGCACATTTCATGTGCGATTATAATATATGTGTGGTGTATTGAGCATGGATATCTATTTATGATTAGCTGAGATTCCTTAAAGGATTTTGTGGATGAAATGATGACTTACTAAGCATTATTGCTTACGAGAATTCCATTCTCTTATGTTCTCATGTATAGGTAATAAACGAAGTATGGAAGTCTGAGAGATTGTATGGAGCCGGTGACAAGGTCTTGGATGGGTTAACAGAGAAGATCTGGCTATTTGTTATGTTTTGCTTTTAGTACTTTGGTGTTCCTACGGATTCTTAAATGATTTTGAAATCCTGATCAGGTGTAACTATTTTAAAGACGTTTGTTTTTGAATACCCTTTGTTATGGTTATAAGGTTGGATTATAAGTATAAGAAATAAAGTCTCATCTCGAGACTTAGTTTCTTTATTTCCACTTTGTATATTAAGTCTCTTTTATGTTTGAGGATCGTAATGGCCGTTTGGAGACGGTCATTACAGTTTGGTATCAGAGCCCAGGTCCTTCCGTAACTCCATCCATTGCCACACACCGCTCGACATCTTTCAGGTAAGTGAGTAGTTAAAGGCATATAAGAGTAACTACTATTTCATATAAGTGAACTCGGTACAAAGGTTGGGTATATATGTATGTGTCATGTGTATTCACGACACTATGAAGATGTTTCTTGAAGTACTGTAAAGCATACGGGTAGGCCTGATAGCAGGTCAGGGTTTAGCAAATGTGTCAAGAATTAATAGGGGTTACTGTTCTAGACAGGATGATAATGGGATTAAGATGAGATCTAAGGCCCCTTAAGATCAAAGTTATCGAGGTCAACCTGCTAAATTTCCCATAATGAAAGGTGTTTAATAACACTTATCCTAGACAAATAAGTTGTTTATGAAAATTTTCAATCGTCCTTATAGGTTGAGGAGCATAATGAACCAGAACTAAATATTAAACAAAGTCCAAATGGAGAATAACCTTGGCTTCGAATGGGAGTTTAGCATTTAGTCAGGTAATTGATTATTATAGCCTATTATGGTAAAGTTTCCATGTCATAATATTAAAGGAGAAAATAATAAACCCTATACAGTTGTTAAACTGATATATATGATAAAACCCCAATGGCGTAATATGAAAGAATGAAATAATGAACCTTATGGGTTTACTTAACTGGTTTTAATCAAGCGGGTAAGTTCATAACTCGTGGGATGGTTCGGACCAATGGTCTTGACTTGAACCAGATGGTACGAAATCCTTCAATTTTCGTGAAGATTCTCGGAGGCTAAATAAAATAGTAATCTATGTTGGGAGGGCGAGAAAACACTTTCGGAGCGGGTGCCAAAACATTCTTTTTGGTCCACGAGGTGAGTAAACATGTAGATAATGAGTCCAAACAGGAAGTAGTAGTCATTATGTACGCGTATGAGTATTCGTAGTAATTATCCCAATAAGCTCGTGTTGGTAACGGGTATGCTCTTTTAGTAATAGAAGTATCGATGGAAATAAAGAGTATAAAGAGTTTGGCACCACAAACTATTTTTTTGTTTTAAGTCATTAACAACTCAAGGGCTTGAACCCCAACAATTAAGTAAGTTACTCCCTCCGTCCCATTTTGTAAGATACTTTACGGTTTACGATGTTTGACCGACGATAAAGCAAATTGATCCCTGTAAACACTCAAATTAGTTTTAGAAAATAAAATTTACATATCCAGAAACTACATAAAACCCCTACAAAACCTGCAAAAAATAATTCAAATTCCATAAACTTTTGATATATAAAGTAAAAGATTAAGAGTGATTTAAGTTGACCAATTGAATAGTAAATGTATCGTACAATTTGGGACTGAGGGAGTATAATATGTGATTTTTGATTGAGTAAATTAGTATCCTTTGAGTTAAGAATATAAAACCAGTAAGAAGGTCCCAACTATGATCTTAGAATTTTCTTTAGAAAGATATCATGTAGATTCCTTGATCAGTTTATCATTTGCAATTGAAATATAAAGAGCATAATAAAGAGGCTGTGTAAAAAAATGGGTTCTGAGTTAGAATTTTACTGAAGAAAATTTCTTTGTTTAGTGTAAGTTAGTCTTAGATACAACCTCGTACAGTTTATTACTAGATGAGTTAGCGGGTAATCAGAAGAAAAGTCAGTACCAACTTCTCGCATTTAAGTTCTATATGCTCAAGAAATAAAGGAAGTAATCTCGTGAAAGGTATAAAGCTATTACGGTGATACTAAGGCCAAGTGAAGGGTCTAGCTTGAAATTATGTGAGACTATACCAAGTTATTTAAGTTTCGAGGACGAAACTTTTATAAGGTGGGAGGGATTGTAACGCTCGTACTTTTATCGACTTTTTATGGTTGAGTGCTATATATGGGAAGTGTAGGGATAGCATGTGATTATGAACCTTGTGGTACTTGTATTTGAACTTATATGCTTGTATTATGTTTGAATGTAACAGACGGCGGTATCCGATGAGCAACGAAATTACACCGTAATAATCATTGATATTTTGATTGTAATGGTATAGCAAGTAAGTTGTCATGTTAGATAGTATTCGGGTGTTTAAAATGTAGTTTAAATGTCATTGGGGGTCAAGGGTGTGATCGGCCAACAATCGGGGTCGGTTTAGGGCAAAAAAGGGCATTTTCGGCACCGGGGGAACCCCGAACCAAAGCCGGTTAGGCCCAGACCGGCGCCGGTCCAAAACAGAACAACCGGCGCCCGTCAGGGCCAAACCGGCGCCGGTCAGGGCCAAACCGGCGCCGGTCCGGTCGGGCAATGTCGGTCAAAATCAATTTTTAAGCGAAAAAATCCTTTTTCAGCCCCAATTTTGACCTGAACTCATCCCTCTCTCTACCAGCAATCCCAAAACCCTTCCTGAGGTGATTCAAGGCCAAATTAAACCTATTAATCATCAAAGATCATCACTTTGTAAGATTTTACACTTTACATGAAGTATTTCTTCTATATTTGTATTTTCAGTTCTTGGTTGGGGATTATGCTAGGGTTGGTTTATGTAGGGTTGATTCTAGGAAAATTAATGGATTTTCTTAATAATGAGGTTGTTATGGAATTGTTGTTTATCCTTGATTAGAAACTCTTGGGAAGTTTTGAGTATTTAATTACCCCAAATGTTTTGCCCAATTATATGAAAGAATTTGGGGAAACTTCTTAGTATGTATAGGCTGATTCTAAATAGATATGTAGAACTCTTGATAGTATGGTTATTGGTTAGTTGTTATTGATTCTTGAGTATGAAGTTCAATCGAGAGTTGTCCAGCAATCCCCCGTTCGAACATCGACGTTTGGGACACTTCCCGGTGAATTTTTTTATAAAATTGTTTAGGCATGTTCCTCATCAAGTCTATTTTATCCACACAAAAATTCAGATCAAAATTACATAAGGAAGGTAGTTAAATCATTTTTTGAAGTTGACTGCGCCAAAATATACATATAAAAACCCAGTCAACTTCAAAAAAAAATTGACCTGAAATGTTTTGTGGTAAAACTAAACCTCATGAGGAACAGGCCCAAAAAATTCATCAAAAAATTTCACCGGAAAGTGCCCCAAACATCGATGTTTGGACAATGTTCAGACGAGGGATTGCTGGACAAGAGAATCTCTCTCTATGACTCTCTCTCTCTCTCTCTCTCTCTCTCTATATATATATATATATATATATATATATATATATATATATATGGAGCCCGACCCAACCCAACCCGGCACGGTACTAACCCGGGCCGGTACCGAGCATAAATATTTTGGACTCAAAGCCCGGCCCAACCCTACCCCGGTCCATGTCTAATCATTTGTGCGAATTACATTTGAATTTGCCTCACCAAGTTATATTTTACACACACAAGTTACATTTTCAATTACGCTAGTTACAAACAATAAACCCTACTATTCATACAAAAAAACATTGTTTATGCGTGTTTTAGATGCAGAATCATGATGATTTTGGAATGTTTCATTTTTATAGCCCTAATATTAAAAAACAAAACATGTTGACTATTCACGTAAAGTAATTAAGCAATTAGACTCCATTTTTCATTTTTACATTAAAGTCAATGTTTTATTTATTATACTCCCTCCGTCCCCTTTTAAATGTCCCGAAAGAGGGTGGCACGAGTTTTAAGAAAAGTAGGTTTGTGTGGTTGATATTAATAGATAAAGTAAGAATAAAGTAAGAATGATTTTGAACCACACAAACTTTATCAAATAAGGTATGAGACAATTAAATAGGGACATCCCAATATGGTAAAATGGGACATTTAAAAAGGGACGGAGGGAGTACTTTGTATCAGACAACTTACATTTTGACTTGTCTCCAATTACATTTCCCATCAACGTGAATTACACTTCTTTAATTTTTAAAGAAATGCTCAATATGTGAGAGTATGATGCTCACCATGGGCTGCTCCCCGCGGTATAACAACCGGTATCCAATGCATCATACTAATTTCATATAACAATACTTTATTGCTATTTAGAGGAAACATGATACTATGTTTAGGAGAATTGAACCACTTGTTTTTACTCACTTATTGGGCAATTTCTTGAGATTCGCCTACGCATCAAATTGAAACCTCCTACAAGAGCATACAATCGAAACCTCCTGAAACAAACTTAACATCCGAGTGGGTGCTAGAACTACAAATCTGAGTTCCCGTGTGGTTTCAAGATTCATTAAAAGTAGTAGTAGTACTAGGCTTCAATATGGACAAGTCTGCAATAGCTTCTGCAACTGTCATGTATAACCCGTCCATGCCAAGCTCTGCAAGAAAGTTGGACTTGTTCAACTTTTCCATAACGTTTTCCAAAGGATTAGCCAATACAAGCTTAAGCGACCGTCTCTCTAACAGCCTTTTCAGTTCCCGGATTGTTTCTATACCGCTTGTGTCTATGGCTGTAACAGCTGACATGTCAAGAATTATGCATCTGATTGGCCTTTCTCCATTTTCCGTGGCCCTCTCTTCCTCTTCCCGAAGCCATCTCAGCAATCTACAGTTACGTGATACATTATACATTATACATATACATTATACATTATAATATGCATTACCCCGTATCTGTTTGTTTGATGGAAATTAGCCCCTTAATGAAAATTATATGGTTACTTTTCATCACACATCTCTCTCCTTGCTTTGCTTTGACAAAATCTCTCCTCTCTTGATTACCTTACCACTGGATCTTTAAAATAAATATTCACATTTAAATAAATTATGTTAATTAATTTAGAATTAAATGCTGTTTACAACACTATAATTGTCAAACACTATAATTTTCAATAACCGTGCCACCTCTTCATGTCCCATTGTTAGTGGACGGAGATAGTATTTTATAACTGTCAAAGTCTGGCAAGTCTATTTAAGTCTGGTATGTTTAAGTCCAAGTACAAACATCACAATACTCTAATGTACACTACCCATCCTACTTTTCCTCCTACTTCCCTTCTACTCCCCCTACCCTCTCCTCCTTTCTGTTGAACTAAACATCCAATAATAAGGTAATATAAGACAGCCCACACCAAACGCCTCAAAGATTTAAGACTGACAAAGCCAGGATAGCTAATCTTACCTTTGCTGTACGTAGGTGGAATTTGCAAAGTAGATAGGAGCTTCCACAGAGAGCACAAGGAAAGAAGGTATCCTAGTGGTTGTTCTATATCTGCTTAGGCTTTGATATACCTGAGTTCCTGGAATTTTTCCTAGAACACAAGTATTTGGCCTTGTCACATTCAAAAGAATCTTGAACACAGAAACTGCAACCTAAATTTTCACACACAAAAAAAGAAAAAGAAGAATCTTAGAAATAAGAACCCTTTTGTGTTTGGGTCTGTTTGGAACCCGTAATATAATAGGATAAGAAGATAATTAGAAAGAAAGTACACGTTTTTTAGCAAAGAAATAAGTAAGAAAATGATGTATTTGTTAAATTGGGCAGAAATAAAACTTTGGTTCATTTAGAGTTTTAAACTCGTTACATAAGTTTTATGTATATGTTAAACTCGTATTATTTATAAAGTTTTCATAATGTGTGCTCGTGGGCCCATGATAATGCTTATTTAACTTTTAATGTTTAAACTCAAAAAATTGATGTATCATTAAAATTAATACATGTATCAATGATTATGAAAACTATATACATTATTATGGGCTAAAATTAACTCATTAATTTCTCTTTAGCATGTGTCCATGAGTGCACGAGGATAAAAATGTATATATTTCTATTTCTATAACATAAGGACTACCAAATATAAATATATGTAATAAACCTAAATGGTTTAATCAAAATTGATGCTCCTTCAAAATCTCCAAGATGTATCATCAAACTTAAAAAATCTGAGCAGTTTTTTCCTTTCCCTACAGTTTACTGTGTTCAAAATGGCCTTGTGCCCTAGCCGGAATTTCAATGTGTAATTGGTTTGAGATTTGAGAAGAAGCTTCTTACTGCAATGGCAAGGCCAAGAGGCACTGAGATGAAAAGGACGCCAAAGAAGGAGCAGATACAAGCCAAGAAATCAAATTTGTCAACGTTCCATAGACGGAAAGCAGCCTGGTAATCGATAAGTCCAATCACAGCACTGATAATAATGGCTCCTAATATGAGGTTTGGTGTGTAGTGGAACAATGGCATGAGGAACAGCAGAGTGATCAGAACAGCTGTTGCCATTATTATATTTGACGCTACTGTTTGTGCTCCAGCATTGTAGTTCACTGCAGATCTCGAAAATGATCCTGAATAGATGTAACATACATGTGTGTTATTGGTAACACTTTCACTTTTTTACTGATCACATACCTTTGCACACACATTATTAGTAATATACAAAAATAAATCATATTACATGAAACAGAAAAGCCTCAAATAGACTCTTACTATTATTTCAACTTTTTTATGTTAGCGCCAGCTGATCCAACTAACACTAGCCTCCCAAGAATCCATGGATCCCTAAGTAAGAATTTCACAAAATCCTGCTGGAAAGGCACGGGGTCAAGTAAGGACGACCCCAAGGGTCGCCTAAGTCAACTGGAACTTCTCCGCACCCTGGATAAGGTAAAAACTATAGCATGTAAAGAATATCAACAGAGATATATAAAAATGATAGATGCACGATAATGTGAAGTGTTCGTTACATTGCCGCCCCGAGGGCTGAAAACATCCACATGCACGCAGGTCTGGAAAAAAGTGTTTGAATAATTGTTTAAAAGAGGGAGGAATCAGGACTCTTCTTGGAAAGGATCCGGGGTTGGTGCAGCAACATTATCCTAGGAGCTTCAGGATTGGCCAAGTCATCGGGCAACCCCCAGGATTTGGCAGAGGATGGGTCTTTTTCCTTTAACAGCTTGTAGATAGATTGCTGCATGGGGAATGTAGCTACTTCAAAACAGAGTGCCCCCCTCCTCATCGAGTTTGGCCTCGCCATCCAGAGTCAGAAGCCACGTCTAGGCAATCTCAGCTCAGCGGGAGACCAGTTCCTTCTCCCCCTCTCCTCAAAAGGCCTCACCACCTAAATAAGCCTGCAAAGCGGCACAACCGACATCAGCAGCCTCTTTCTTCAAGTGCTCCTCCTTCACCCTCCGGGACTCCTCCACAGCGCGATGGGCAACCTTCAGCTCTTCATTCCTCTTCTTCAGCTCCTCCAGCTCTTTCGCCGTGCTCACCCTTACCGCCACTGTTGCTGCTAGCCTGGCCTCCGAACGGAAACTGCCTTCTTGTTATCCAAGGTCGTCTTCCTCACTTCCTTCTTCTCGTAACCTAAGCTTCGAGAGATGGCGGCTGACTGAAGGTCTGAGGAACCAAGACCTTAGGAAGCTAAAAGCAAAAGTTAACAACGGAATCCAAGGGAGATTGAAAGCAAAGTAATACAGCTCGAGAAGTTAGTGTGCTAATCTCTTCAACATCCATAGGAGTAACAGTCTGGGCTAGAGCAATAGGACTCACGCTCCCATGATGCAGCAAGGTGGTAGCACAGCGCATGGTTAGGCGTATTAACGCATCATAATTATTATTAGACTTATCATGTACATATAATTAGCATACGGCTGTTACTTCATATTTATCTCCACAATTGTAGCTATCCATTCTTATCACAATAGCTCACACGTATGTATATATACGGACTATGTACATTGTATGATTCATTGAATATACACATCCATTACTCATACTTTACATGGTATCAAGAGCCAGCCTCATACGAGCATAATTTTGTTTTGTTTCCTCTCCGATGGCCATCACTGCCGACACTCCGGTGATTCAAGTCACTGCCACCACCAGTTTTCCCATCAAACTCACTTCTTCCAACTTTCCTGTTTGGAAATGCCAAGTTCATGCTACTCTCGTCAGCTTAGGACTTAAAGGCTATGTTGATGGTACAATTACCACTCCTCAACATTTTCTGGATACTGCAAAATCTCATATCAATCCCTGTTACACCATCTGGTACCGGCAGGATAAAGTTATTCTAAGTGCTCTCCTTGGTAGTTGTTCCGACACAATTCAACCTATTCTTTCATCAGCGTCTACTGCACATCTTGCATGGGAAAAATTAGCCCTCACCTATGCTAGTACTTCACGCGGCCGTATCATATCGCTCAAATCAACTCTGACCAGGACAAAAAAGGGTGACCGATCTATTCTTGCTTATCTCGCCGAAATGACGGCACTATCTGATGCGCTTGCGCTTGCTCAGAATCCAATTTCTGAGGAGGATCTTGTCGTCTATATTCTCAACGGACTTGGGCCTGATTATGGCGAATTACGGTCTGCTATCCGAATTCGTGAAAAGGCTCTTCCCTTGGCTGAACTTCAATCCATTCTTTTAGAAGAAGAGCATCTGGCAGAAGCAGCAGCATTAAATGCCTCACTTATTCCTACGGCCAATGCTACACATACTATGGATAGTGGAGCCTTTTCCACTAATCATCATGACCGCAGGTCTTCTGGGAGTGCAGACCAACGTGGAGGCCAATCACGCAGAGGCAAGGGTGGTCCTTCCCACTACTCTTCAGAGTTAGAGTCAAGGTCCACAAAAAACTGGAGGGCTCATCATCAGTAGCAGCAGTTTTGTTCTTCTATAGCTTGGAAGCAGGGATGGACTGAGTTGCCTGCGTCTTCCCGGCCCCCTGGTAAGAGGAGGTCGAGGGTCATTAGCCAGGGTCCCAGTAGGCTACTCACTCGTGAGGACTCTCTTAGGTGAAACCAGGGAACCAGAGGTATTTCCCGCCCAAGCGGAGAGCCTTTCTAACCTGGATGCCATCTTCTCACCCTTTGCTGAACACCAATAAGACATACATAAGCACATGGGAACAACACAATATGAAAAAATGATAAATCAGGCATGGCTGACTTGAGAGATACTCTAGAACGATTACACCGGCCTCACCTACATGATGGCTTATCAGGAAAGGGGCACCATAGGCAATGAGAGCAGCAACATGTTAACTACCCTCAATTAGAATGAGCATAGTCCATCCCCGGATCCACTCACCCGACATGTTCGTAAATGAAAAGGTGACCTCAACCAGAGAAACCCAAACCCACTTACTCCTCCCGCTTTTATGGGAGTCAGGATAAGATTTGGCAAAGAATAGGCGATGACTCTCAAAGGTATTAGCTCGGAAAAAGTGAAAGACGTGCAAGAAGAGATCCAGAGTGGGGCAAGTTTTCAAGTGAGGACACTGGGCTATAAACTCGACGATGAACAGGGTAAGTTGAGCCGGGATAACTAACCCCTTAATGGTCGAGAACGAATAGAAGGGCATAATGAAGAGGAAATCGAGGTCATGTCTCCAAGCTGACGAGTAAAGGAGGGGGGTTCAACTATATTTTGCCCGGAGCGGGGCGAAAACAAACAACGGTGGTACCGTCCAAACAGGACGTCATCTCAAACTTCGTGTCTGATAAAGCAGCCGTTAGGACACCCCGGGTGAAATCAGAAGAAAGTAAAAAATGGGTTTCTACCCATGAAGAATCGATAGGGATTCAAGGGCGGTCAGAAGATGAACCCTCCTTGCAGGGAAGGGGATGGGTTCACAAGGAGATTTCAGAGAAGAGGAAGACATGAAACTGACGTGAAAAGAACGGAAGGACACGGATACCCTATTTATAAGGAGAGTGGCGCCGTATAACTGCTACGGAATCGGAACACGGTTTCCAGGGCACGTGTTTGTTTTGTACCCCGTCCCTAGATGTTCTTCCAAATTAAATTTGCACGGTGATTAAGAAAGTGAGAGTTGTGCAGAAGAGAGAGAAATGATAACAACAAATTCTTTGCCAAAAAAGGAAAGTGAAGTTCTCTTTGGGAAGGACGAAAAGGGAAAATTGAAAGTAAATTTAGGGACGGAGGAAGTACTTGCTAAGAATGAGGCAAGTATTAAATGAACGACAGATGCACCAATTTAAAAATTCAGAGGCAATCTAGTTACTCTCTTTCGAGACTCGTCGGAGAGCAAGGGGTCTCGTGATGATGCTATGGGAATAAATACTTAACTCCGGATCACCCGGATAAAGAATTAATAAACAAGCCATAAAAGCCTGAACGGGTAGATCTAAGCCCACTGCGGGATTAATCACGCATGAGCCAACCTAGACGGTAGGCGCCAAGCTCAATGAGAATCTCATTAAGATGGGACTCTTGTTAGGGCTTACGTGGCTTCAGAACCGCAACGGATAATTGTAACTGGCAGCGACACAAATCACCTGAGGAGACGTAGGCATCAAGGAGGCATTAAATACAAAAGTTATGAGAGACATTATATGAATCCTATTATGATTAAAATCATTAATTGTATCGGTCATGTCTCTTAATTGTATTATGACCATACACTTATAATACTCGTGTATATATTTGTCAAGGGAGATGAACTTGTACATATCTTGTAGAGACGATCCTCTTCAATAATAATATTGTCTTACGTTGCCATGTTGTCTATTATCTTATGCATGTCAAACTCATCGATAGATTAGCTCTTGCAATTGGAATTATACTTCACCAATATACACTCATAATACATATACACATTATACATACACACATTGTATTTATTTATTTATGTTTATTTATTTATATATTTCAAAATTTAATTGATAGTAAAATAAGGAATAAAATTGACAGTGAGGGGGGCTAACAAAAATGAGAATGATAAAATATTAAAAAAATCGATATTATTTACTCCGTGTTTGATAATTTGTGTGCTATGGGCCTCATGGTGCTAATTTTGAATAAGTTATACTTTTTTTAAAGAAACCAAATTTTATTGAAAAAATTGATAGCAATTCATGCGCTAATGAAAGAAGAAAGCTAAAGCAGTAAAGATAAACTAAGCTAAGGAAAGCAAACTAAGCTAAAGGTTAAGCTTTCAAGCGCAATTGTGACCTAATTTGCATAGAGGAAGCCTGAATAGCAAGCTTTTTCTTGTTACGCCGAGAAATAACTGAATAACTAAAGCCGGAGAAGTCACTAAAGACGTAGCTGAAGAAAGAACAACATTCTGAGCCAAAATCTGAGATTTCATCCTTTTGTCTAAACTCATCTCATATGTCTTGAATTGAGTGATAAGATCTTGGAGAGAAGGATAGGAAATAATAGTCATCTTAGAGTTCTTACCCACAAGATTCTGCTTGGGAAAAATATTTTCATTTTCTTTCACGTTCTTCTTGGAGCATGTAGTTAGTTCCCTCAATGCATCAGAAGAAATCAAATCCGTTGATGAAGACATATACAGAGTGATTGTCAAAGGAGAGAATCCCTGAACATCAGCCTGAAAAATAATCCCAGAGATCGAAAAATCATTATTGTTACCAACCCTATCAAGACCCGGCAACAAATTTTGTACAAATTCCATTGGTTGTGAAAAACCTTTCAACAAATTAATGGCTCTGAAACCCAATTCATATCTTCCTTCGGGAACAAAAATAGAATCAATCCCTTTGTCAATTATTCGAATAAAAACACCATAAGAATTTGAATTGAAGAGAATTAAAAATTGCCCAACACGAATCTAGAATTCACCCAATTGTCCAAGGAAACTTTTAGAATGGAACCCCTCAGCCATTGTAAATTATCTAGATCAAACACAATTCAAGAAATAAAACCCGATTTGACATCAGAATTACAAACAGATTTGTCAAAGCAATTAAAAAGAAATTTTTTGCTTTCAATAAAAATGCCACTCTGAAGAAGAAACTGAATCAAACGCAAGTTGCTAAACCAAATCCTTGTAATCATCCTTCCGAGAGGCAGAAAGCGAATTATTGGACCCTTGTATCAATCCCTTTCCGTGTCTGAATACATCATCCTCCTTATAATCATGATCGCAAGCATCCAATATCTGTAACACCCCCTTGCGATGACTGAAATCATCAAAATCCCCATCGATATCTCTTTGCCGTGAAGACTTAGTCCTCACTTCCAACCAATCTGGAACGAACCTAGCTCCCCTCTGCCAAGAGTGATTAACTATGTGTGCCTCATCCCTTGAAAAGCCTCGTGCCTGCCAAGATTCATGGCCGGACCAACGGTGCTGCCTTTGTCGAAGGAAAGAGCCTCCAATCCTTTTGTCTCTACGATGCGGATGAAGCGGTGTCCGGAGCTGTGAGGCTACCCTCTCGACATCATCAATCTTGCCTCCAAATTTGCGACCACGTCGAAAGAGCGACCCCGTCAATCCCAGCGGCAAAGTCTTGCAGAGTTGCAGGCCATCAATTCCCAACTATGATCCCAACCAGCGATTCTCAGCGGCGACTTCATGTGGCCCTAAGAGTGCCTACGGCTAAACGATTCATCCCAACCCTTTTGAAAAAGTTATACAAAAATGGGAATCACACAGCAACATCGTAACTGGTGCGCTAAGGATCCCCTTCTTCAAATTAAAGTTACACAAGCAAATATGTGTGTTTAAATAGATACAAAAATAATATTTAGAAATTTTACACATATAAGCTACATGTTAAAATTTAGAAATTCTACACACAAACTATATGTTCAAAATTTGAGGTTTTGGCTATTTGGGGATTCTTTTTTCTTCTTTAGAAAAACAATTTAAAGTAACTAGTAGCTTACACTCCGGTTGTGCTGATATTCTCTTTAAAGAACCAAAGTTTTGGGGATCTTTTTTTGATAAAAATCGAGCTAATAATAATAAAATATTGATAATAATAAATGTATGGGTAGTATAAAAGAAGGGCATGGAGAAATAAGAAGTATGCCGAAATTGGGTAGTTGCTTGGGAGAGAGGAGGACGCTCTTGAACCACTCCCGCTTCTTTTCTGTTTTCCTTTTGTTTTCTACTGTTGTAATTCTCAGACATTCTACTGTAATACACTGAATTTACAGTCAATTTTTGGAGTCTCTATCATTGGTATCAGAGCACTCTCGATCCTGGAGACAGAGGCTGAATCGGATCATCACCAGAGCACCAACGATCATCCCAGAGCATCAACGAACTGGAATAATGGAAGAGGACTTCTATATGTTGCCGCGAATGGAGAAGAGTATGGATAATATTGAACGCCATTTGAAGGAGATGAAAACTATGATGGACAAGAGGCTGGATGAGATGCGTGACTGTGTGCATCAACATCATCGCTGACACCGAAAGAGGAACCCTAGACGTCATCGGCAATCGGAAAAACCAGGCTCGTCGCAATCAGCTTCACAGCGAGCAGAGTTCCCCAATTCGCGAACTCCATCGTTATCGGACTCTCTGATTTCGCAAGTTTGGTCACCAACCTCGTCTCCCAATTCATCACTAAGTGAGCATGTTGTATGAACAAGAACCTCCAATAATAATAATAGTAGAATTATACTAAGGAGTGTGATATTGTATAAATAAGGGTTTTGGGCTAGGTACTAATTAGCTTGGACCGGCCCATAAGGGAATTTATTATAAATAGGAGTGAAGAAGAATAAGAGGGTAGGCAGAACTTTGGATCTGGACTAGGACTTGGGAGAGGGGACTGCTCGAAGTGTCTCGTTCTGTTTTCTTCTCTTTCTTTCCGTTTCTTTCCTTTTCAGTTGTAATTGACAGGTTTCATACTCAGTAAATCATCAATTTCTGCCGCGTTTGTTGAGGTTCCTATCATTGGTATCAGAGCAGTTCGGTCCTGTAGCTGTGAATGAGATTTACCAGGTCACAGATGGAGAATCAACTTGATAACCTTGAGCAGTACATGGAGCGGAATACCACTGCAGTACGATCGATCGTGGATGAGATGCGCAACATGCGTAGTTCGATGGAAGGTATTATGGCTAAGTTGCGTGACCTGTGACAATTGACGACGAGCAAGGATCGACAGAAATCCGGAGGGAGATCGCGAATTACTCGACACCGATCCCCTACTGCTGACCATGGATCGTCGTCGCCTTCTCAAGGTATTCCGCACGTGTTTCCAATTTCTCCTTACGTACGTGAACATGATCGTGTGAATAGGGGATTTGAAAAGGACAGGTAGGAAGGTGGATTTGCCTATGTTTAACGGGGAAGATGTGAATGGCTGGCTTATTAGAGTAGAAAGGTTTTTCAAATTAAATCAGGTAACGGAGCAGGAAAAAATTGATTTGGAGATCCTGGCCATGGAAGAAAAAGGCTTGAATTGGTTCCAGTGGTGGGAAGGGAAGACTAAGAAGAGAACCTAGGAATTGTTCAAAGAGGCACTTATGAAGAGATTCCAACCGGAGCTCTTACAGAATCCTTTTGGGACGATGCTTAGTTTGAGGCAGACTGGTTCAGTGATGGAGTACAGGGAACGTTATGAAATGGTGGTGGGCCCCTTAAAACACACTGATGAGCAAATGTTGAAAGGAATATACCTTAATGGGTTAAAGGATGAGGTGAAGGAAGAACTTAAATTGTATCCTAAAGCTACATTACCTGAACTTATGGATATCTCTATGGTTCTGGAAGGAAAGAATGCTGCCCTGAGAGGTGGAAAACTAAAGGAAGGAGAGCAGAGATGTGGAAAGGAAAAGGGAGGAACACTGGGTAACCCACAACAATGGATAGATGGCACCAAATGGAGGTCCCAAGCCAATGTTGTTGATAAATTTAAAATTGAAAACC